GAGCGGTAGGCAGCTCCCAGAGACTTCCCCAGTTGTTAGAGAAGAAAGGGAGAGTTCGCATGAGCCGCAGAGAGGTGCCTTGGATGAGAAGAAGAAGCGAGGTACATTCCGCCTCCTCCACGATGCTGTTGTGCATGTCCGAGAAGGAAGACTTACGATGAAGATCGGCGATGAGATAGTTGAATTCAGATTGGATCAGAATCTCAAGCAACCACACTTAGTAGAGTCTTCCTTCTACCTAGATTTGATCAACACCTTGGTCGATGAGGTAAAGGGCGAGTTCAGACCCCTTAGAGACAACCTTGAATGCAGAGCAAGAGAGTATGTACTGCGATTGGGAAGAGGTTCAGAGCATTATTCGGACTTTGGATGCTAGCTTGGAGATTGAACTTGGGGGTTGGAAGTACAGAACCGTTGAGCCATTGTCTTGCTCAGCCCATGAGTTTCCTTGGCTTAGATATATGGAGAACAAAGAGGAATTATCATCTTCTCCAAGCCACCAAGCTCCCATCTCTTCCATACAAGTCAAGCAACCCGATGAGAAGAAGAGCGGGAAAGAGGATTGGAAACGAGACTGCGCCAAAGGTGGAGTTAAAACCCTTACTACAAGGACTTATGTATGAGTTTCTTGGTCCTAACTCTACTTATCCTGTGATTGTAAATGATGCTTTAACTGCTGCGGAACTAGCTGACTTGGTGACATTGCTTAGAGAGCATATGCATGCTTTGGGCTACACGTTAGATGATATTAAAGGTATTAATCAATCTCTCTACATGCATCGCATTCACCTAGAGGATAGTTCTAAGACCTCCATTGAACACCAACATAGGTTGAACCCTGTCATAAAGTACTTAAGAAAAAAGTGTTTAAGTTGTTAGATTCTGGTATCATTTATCTTATTTCTGATAGTGCATGGGTTAGTCCCGTGCAAGTTGTTCCTAAGAAGGGGTATCACGGTCGTAGAGTATGAACATAATGAGTTTATACCTATTAGGACGGTCACGGATTGGCGCATGTGCATTGATTATAGGAAGTTGAACTCGAACACTCGTAAAGACCATTTTCCATTACCCTTCATCGACCAGATCCCTGAGAGATTAGCCTTGCATTCTCACTTCTGCTTTCTAGATGGTTACTCGGGGTTCTTCCAAATCCTCATTCCCTTGTGACCAGGAAAAGACCACATTCACATGCTCATATGACACTTTTGCATATCGTAGGATACCATTCGAATTATGTAACGCACCCGCAACATTCCAGAGATGTATGACTGCCATTTTTCCTGATCTTATTGAGGATGCCTGCGTATCATCTAGACAGAGGGTTCGGTTCTGGTTCAGACAATTGGCTTTTGCAATTTGAGGTAATTTTCTCCCCCTTTTTTTTTTTACCCTTTTTAATATATTTTTATTTCTTGCATTTTAAATAGAAAAATAGTGGAAAAAAATACCGTTTAAATGTTTTAAAATGGGATTCTCTGATCAAAAGAATCTTATTGTTTCCCTCTTACGAAAATGACACTTGTGAAAAAAAAAACTGACCGTTATATAAGGTCTTAAATGGAAATAGTTTTTATTTTTGGTTTTTAACTTTTTGATTTGATAAATTTGTAAATTTAAAAAATTGTGGCTTTTGATTTTTAATTTTTTTTATAAAGTAGATTTCCGTATTTTTAGTAAAACCAAAATTTAAAAAATTTGATTGTCAAATTTTTCATTTTTAAAATTTAAAAATTCCGAAAAATCTCTTCCCATCCAATATCTAAAATATGTTAACACAGAATACCATAGTGATTGCATTTCATTTGTTATGGTTTGATAAAAATTTAGAGAATTCATTATCTGTTTTTTTTTCTTCTTCTTCTAAATCTTTCATATAATTTTGTGACATTTCAACTCTTTGAAACTCTTAGTTATAAAAATAACAAATGTTTAAATGCGAGATTTAGGTAGTAAGTCAAGTTGTTATAATGTCGTGCCACAATAGCGATATATAATTTCAACCCACATAAAACAATTAGTCGATGGGTGTTGTACCTTCCATTGGATTGGCAAAATAATTGAGTCCAACCAACCTCACATTCCAAGCCAAGGGATTCTCAATGTTCAAATTACTTTTCATATTCACGCAATTAGGAATATAACATATTGTGGTTTATACATTATAGAGCAAGTATGTATCATGGTAACAAAAAATAGGGAGATAATTTATTATTTTCTATCTTAAATTATGTAAACATTTTTATATTTCAATTTCTTTATTTTATCACAAAATATTTGGCTTTGAAATGAAATGACAATGCCGTTTTGTTATAAATAAAATATTAAAGTTACAAAATAAAAATTTTGAATATAAAAATTTATTCCATCCACCACATTTAAAAAAAAAAGAGAACGTAATACGGCGCCGTTTTAGGGGCTTAAGCTTAGGGTTGGACATTTAAACCCGTTACTCGCGAGTAAGCAGGTACTCGGTCTCGTGGGTACCTGAAAAACGGGTACTCGGCACCTAACGAAGATGAAAACGAGTATTAAAAACTAGAATACCCGTCATACGGGTATGGGTTCGGGTTTTATATATTGAAACAACGGGTACCCGCGGGTACCCGCATATATATTAAAATTATAAAATTAACCTTATATTTTTAATATAATTTCTAAAATACTTAGTTTATTTTTACTTTACTTTAGGATTATATATTGGATTTTCAAGTTTTGATAGATTCAATTTCTTATCGCTTATGCGCCTCCACCGCCTAGGCGCGCCCCAGGCGCGCTTTTTTAAACTAAGTGAGGATGTCATGGAGATGTTTATGGATGACTTTTCCGTCCATTGACCCTACTCTCGTTTGTATCTAACGAATTTGCATCGAGTGTTAGACAGGTGTAGGGCTGAACATTTAAACCCGTTACCCGCAGGTAAGTGGGTACCCGGTCTCGTGGGTACCCGAAAAACGGGTACTCGACATCTAACGAAGACGAAAACGAGTATTAAAAACTAGAATACCCGTCATACGGGTACGGGTTCGGGTTTTATATATTGAAATAACGGGTACCCGTGGGTACCCGTATATATATTAAAATTACAAAATTAACCTTATATTTTTAATATAATTTCTAAAATACTTAGGTTATTTTTACTTTTAGGATTATATATTAGATTTTCAAATTTTGATAGATTCAACTTCAAATTATTGTGTATATTTTAAAATATTTCTAGGATTCTATGCATATTATTATATTTTAAGAATTTTTAGACTTAAAAATATATTTTTGGAATAAAATATATATATTTTTATTGATTATTTGGTTTAATTTTATATTGTTTAGTATTTTTATACGGGTACTCGCGGGTACCCGTTTTTTAGTTATGGGTATCTGTTGGACGGGTACCCGGATGTTATGAGATAGAGACAGAGATAGCATTTCTCTGAAACCCGTGAAAACGAAAACGAAGATGGGAATCTCCAAAAACGCGGGTACCTGACCTGTGCCCAGCCCTAGACAGGTGCATTGAGGCGAACTTGATGTTTAATTGGGAGAAATACCATTTTATGGTTCAAGAGGGCATATTGTTGGGTCACAAGATATCAAACAGAGGAATTGAGTGGTATTTTGTCCCAATTAAGCATCAAGTTCGCCTCAACGCACCTGTCTAACACTTGATGCAAATTAGTTAGACACAAACGAAAGTAGGGTCAATGGACGGAAAAGTCATCCATAAACACCTCCATGACATCCTCAATAAGATCAGAAAAAATGGTAGTCATACATCTTTGGAATGTCGCAGGTGCGTTACATAATCCGAATGGCATCCTATGATATGCAAAAGTGCCATATGGGTATATGAATGTGGTCATTTCATGGTCGCTAGGGTGAATGGGGATTTGGAAGAACCCGAGTAACCATCTATAAAGTAGAAGTAGGAATGCAAGAATAATCTCTCAAACATCTGATCGATGAAGGTTAATGAAAAATGGTCTTTACGGGTGTTCGAGTTCAACTTCCTATAATCAATGCACATGCGTCAACCCGTGATCGTTCTATTAGGTATCAACTCATTATGTTCATTCTTTACGATCGTGATACCCCCTTCTTAGGAACAATTTGCACGGAACTAACCCACGCACTATCAGAAATCGGGTAAATGATACTTACATCTAACAACTTAAACACTTCTATCTTAACTACTTCCTTCATGACAGAGTTCAATCTACGTTGATACTCAATGAAGGTCTTAGAACTATCCTCTAGGTGAATGCGATACATGCAGAGAGATAGACTAATGCCTTTAATGTCGTCTAACGTATAGCCCAAAGCATGCCTATACTCTCTAAGCAATGTCACCAAGTCAGCTAGTTTCGCAGCAGTCAAAACATCATTCACAATCACAGGATAAGTAGAGTTAGGACCCATGCTTATGTTTTGTTTTTGCTTTCAAACTCTTGCAATGAATGGATTTTGTGTTTCATGCTTATCTCTCTCTTCTCCCTCTTGATTGAATCTCTTAGGAAACTTAGGGTTCATGATTTGGGTGAGGTCTTTGTATGAGTTTGATTGATAGAAGTTGATGAATGGTATTTAATGCTTCCCATATGGTGAAAACCTTGTGGGTAGATCTTAGAGTTATGATTCACATAGAAACATGGTGACTTGACTCATTGGCTCATTCATTCAACGGGTTGTGGTTGAATGTGAAGAAATTCGGTTTAACTCAACCTAGGATTATGACAAAGGTACTTAATGCATTTGGGATTTCATTCTAAGCCACAAAAGTGGATAGAGTGGCCTCTTGGATAGCGGGAATTCGACTCGAGAGAGTCGAATCCGATTTTAGCCTTTAAATCCCTCACTTTATAACAAATATGATTTAAGTCCAATATCATTTACGGCATCCTTGCATGATTGGTGACTCCCGAATCCCATAACCTTCCCATTTGATTTTCTCTTCCACGCCTTTGGATTATTTTGCTTCCTTTTATTGCATTTAGTTACCTGTAAATCCAAAACCACAAAACCAATTTCCATTTTTATTTTTACCTTTTTTCTAGTTTTAGTCGATTCCTAACTTAACCCCATTAGTCCCTGTGATCGACCCCGATACTAAATCATCCGTATACTTGTGGATGTTGTGTTTCGAGTTATAAATTTAAAACTCATCACGCAAGTGATCAAGCCTAAACCTTATTAACATCCTACCAGAATAACGATGGAAATGGCAACTTTTACCACTTAGCTGAGATATTTATTAGAGGATACAACATAATCCAATATCATTCAGTGGATAAACCTATAGAGAACAATGCAATGAATCATTCTTAAAAAAATAATAAAAATAAGAACAGAAATCTAGGTCACCTGACATGAGAATGCTTGAGCATCGCTTTACCAAATGAAGCACTGTTTCGCTAATTGTATCACACAACTGATCCAAAGACAGGGCAGCCTGAACAACAGTCAGATCATCATCCCAAAGCTGCCGCAATATGGTATCCCGAACTGTCACAATGCTCTGGGCAGAGGGCGTAAACAAGAAAGAAATGAAATACCAATGAAAACTCTAATTTCATCAAAAATTACTACCGGATCCTATCGAAGTCATAGCAGAGATAAGATATTATTGAGGAGTGCAAAGTATAGAGACAAGTAATCCTCAAAATAATTAGGCCACCATACCTCTGCATTAGCACCATCAACCTTGATAACACCATTAAGACTAGAGAGCGCGGCACGGCGAATGGCGGCATGAGGTGTGTGACAAAAGCATTAGGCTTGAATAGGAAGATACTAAAAAAGAAAATATGAGTTTATGGTCGGTTGCAGGTGATGGTACCTTGGGATGATGGAGCTTGAACCATAACTTTGATTCCAAGAATGACTGGGACATATTTGAATTCCCATTCAACATATGAGACAACATCTCTAGCTTTATGCCCTCTTTCCTCGATTTAACATCACTATCCTGCAAGAAGAATAGGATGACGCAGACAAACCAAAAAACTGAAAACTTCTGTGGGAAATAAGTCATAGAAGATTGGTCCACAAACCTCCATAAACTTGCAAACTGCCATGCGAAGTTCAGTGGGATAGTTCTTGCTAATAACAACCAAAATTTTCTTGGCCCAGCTTCCTGCAATACAATTGCAACTCTGACAGTAAGCTATAGCAAGGGCACTGAGGGTATGAATCCTGAAAATGAGTAACTTCTAAAACTACGGGAACGGGATATATGGTATCAATTTCATAACTTACTAGACGCAGTTGAGGCAAAATCACTACCCTTCTTGTATGACGTCATGCACAAAGAAAAAACCTTTGAGATAAAATGATCTACCAAACTGCTTATCGGAACCGTATCTATGATTGAAGTTAAAGCTTGGCAACATCGATCATCAGAGGAACTGCAACATAATGAGAATAAGTTTAAATAACGAATAGTAAAATGGATATATCGACTGGAGTGATTAAGCAAACCGAGTCATTTATGCACCTTTGAAGAAAAAAAGAATCCAATAGCACTGCCAGGAATGCATTGATGTTGAACTCTTTCGACAAACTCAAAAGAACATCAGATATACCCCTAAGACAGTAAGCGATTGAAAATAGCATTAGAAAAAAAAAAGGACCAACCCAATTCGTATCCCCATTCAGTGGGGGTGTTGGGGAAGGGAATATACTAGGTCACCTTACCCTTACATTTTTAATATAGAGAGATGGATTCGAACTCGCGTCTCGCGACCTCAGACCCCACGGTAAATGGTTTTATCGCTGAGCCAAGTCGACCTTCAAGGACTACCTTATTTCCTTTAAAAGATTCAAAGCCTTCTTTGGGATGACGTCAACAGATTGCAACTGTGAATGATTCAAGGAAGCTAGTCAGTGCCAAAAAAGAACAAAGTAATAAAGGGAAACAGTATCCAAAAGGTGCAAGTTGTAAGCTCAATTCCTGCTTAAGCAACTCAAGCATAGATGTCTACTCTCCAATGAAACTTCGTGATCATTAAAATTTAGAATGCAAATTCAATTACCTGAACAAAATTAATTAACGCCGTGAATGACAACCGAAGCCATTGAGGATCAGAGGAATCTTTAGCATGTTCATATGCTATCTCAGAGATGGACTATATAAAGCGTGTGACAAGATTATGGTTCAGCATGGATTTGTTGGCCAGTAGGCCAGCAATCATCAAAGCACCAGCCTAATAACAACAAAAGTGCCAAAAAGCACATCAAAAGAATAACCCAATTTCCTTGAAGAAATTACAGAATAATAATGCATTCCTTAAGATTCTGAATCTTGGGAGCAATATATCGAACTCAAGGAAAAGATTAAATATGCAGCCTATTTCCATGATACTTTAATAGATTTATCTCATTACAATCACTACATGACTGTACATTTATTATAAGCATCAAACCGAAGATTTGGCTCCACGACTAACCTGGTGATCTGAACCATCTCTCACACCAGGTTGAAAACCAGAGTCCACAAATGGCAGAATCCGCATCACGATATCACAGCCGTGACAGAACCTAAAACCCCGACAATAACGGCCGTGCATAAGCAGACAACGGGTTTCGAAGGTTGATATTTCTTAGTCCGAGATGTCTAGCAAGCAGGCAGCAGCCGCATAAGCTGTTCGGTTCAATACGAAGAACCAAAACCACATGGGATAAAAGCAATGCAATTAGCTGCCACTTACATATTCACACAAGGCTTCCAGAACCTGCATATCACGGACACGTTGCTGAACTGTAACCGATCTAGGAGGTGGAGCACCAGAAGTTTTCACACCATCTAGAAACTTCCACTTGTTATTCTTGTAATGCAAACGATAAATGGGATTTACAAACTTATTGAATCAACGAAGGCCTTAACTACAAGAAGAAATGAACCAGGCTCTCACCTAGTCTTGAGCAGCTAAACAATCCGCACAAATGCATGTGTGTCATGGTATGGCAGAGCACATAATACCAAATCCTCTGAATTGTATACATGAATCCTGAAAATCAAACAGTTACCACAATTTGGTGAAGGATTCTAAAGTAATATGAAGGTAAAGAAACATGTAAACAGATTCATCCTCAACATCTAAAAATAATGAGACAGGTCACAGGGGACAAAGCGAAACATACTTGTATCTCCGTATTAAGTACTCAAGTGTTTCCAAGGAAGCGCGAAACTGAAGAAAACCCGAGAGTAATCGTAGGAACGAACTGATTGATGCATCAATTCGATCATTTTCTTCCCTACCCATCAGTTCTCTATCCAAATCTCTGCTCTTATGACTAAACAAATCGTTCTTGTAATTCTGAAACCTTTCATCGATTCTTACAAGCGATTCTAGACCTGAATTGACAAAAAAAAAACAGAAACTCAATTGGATGAATTTCGAACAAATACAATTTTCATCTATATTATCGTTGTTCATTCTGCAACACAAAAGGAAAGGCTACACGAATCTTGTTCGCACAATTCCATATACTTCCCAAGAAAAAAACAAAACAAGAACAAAAACCCAGCAAACCTCCAAGCCCGAGATTGTAAATGGTCTCGATATCGATATCAGCAGCTGCTTTAGGGCTGAAAAGAATTGAAGGGCGAGTGAATGGTCTCTTAATGGGCTCCGTATCAGCTTGCACCAGCGATTTGATGGCCTGTAACTGCGACATGATTGAACTCGCCATTGTTGTTCTCCGCCTGCAAAGTAGTAAGAAGAAAAGGGTCATTACTCGATAATACAGAATCAAATTCCACAACAAGCAGAAACAGATCTTGAACTCGGAACGGGAGCTTGAAAAGAACTAGTCTTCAAGACGATTAGCAACCAACATATGAATCCAAAGGAATTTCAAAACTCCAAACAGTGAATAAGGCACAAAACAAGAACCGAAGATCCAGAAAAAATTCTCCGACTGGCCCAAAAAAAAAAGGGTTTTAGCTTTGGATATTGTAGATTGAGAAAACCAAAGCAGCAAACGAAAGGGGCTACAAATTTTCCTCGAATTTAACTCTATCCTAAACCCTAACCGCCAATCCCTAAACGGGCGTGCACCTACAGATGGAGGGTGGCGGTATCGCCACCGGTCGAGTCACAAGATCCAAAGTGCAAATGCATCCCTTTTTGGTCAAATCGATTCGTGAGCCTCTGCCCTGTTTTTCTACTTTTTCAAGACCCGGCCCCCGTTTCTAGCCTCTCTTCCTGGTCGGCCAGCCGGAAATCCCACGGGCACCCAAGTTCTCGCCAGTACCCGGAACTCGGGTACCGGCCATGACGAGAGCCAAACGATTGAAATCTTGAGAAGAAGAAGAAGAAGAGAAGTTACCGGCGACAGTGATGGAAGCAGACTGTCGAACCAGAGAAGGTGGTGCGTCAACGAAGCGAGAAGATGGCCAAAAGGGATATTCCTCCAAGTGCGGCGACGAGTGCCGTAAAGACGGCGAGTTTTTTTTTTTTTTTTTTCATGTCGTGACCATATTTCGTCCGAACCTTTTTTGTCGCCCTGGTCTCATCATTTTTTGTGACCGTTGGAAAAACACATTACAACTTTTTATTTTAAATCAACTTTTGGATTTTAAACCAAATAAAATATATTCTTTCAAAAAAATCAAATCTCACATCTGATATCCGAATTTTGGATTTTTTTTCTTGTAATAATTATTAATTTAAGTATATTTAGCTGATAATTGTTATTCATTCAACAGAATGAATTCAAATGAGATCATATTTATTCTAATTAAAAACGTACCTTCTTAAATTATAGACAAATAAATTTATAGTTAAGGTGAACATGATTTGTGTTACAAAATAAATTTGGTGATCAAACCAACATTATTTTTATACAAAACAAAATTTTAAAAAAAATCGTCAAAATTAATTGTTCATTGATTTTTTTTATTAGTCAAATGTATTATTTTATATATTCTTCCTTATTTTCGGTTGTGTTTGTTGTAAATAAATCATATTCTTGATAAAAATAAGTAAATACCATGGAATCTACTTATGAACTAGTCGAAACTACAATATTATATAGAGAGATAGATAAAAGGTGTGGTAAATAAAATTTTAGAAAAATATATACACACACACACACACAAAACTCGAGTGAATCATTCCTTTTAATTAGGTTTATGACAAGAATTGAGCATATGATATAATTAAATATAATTATGATGGGATTAGAACAAAATGAATTACAAACACTTGCCCAACAGAAGATCATTAACTAATTGAATCAACGTACGAACTCGAGAGCTGCGTAGTAACCGATGAGCACAGGAAGAGATACCAACATTCCGAATATGACTCTGCAAATCACACATATACATATACACGAAGAATTATATTATAATAAAAAAGGTTAATTATGCAAATAAAAAAGATTATTAAATCGACGATATTCTTTTTGAAAGAATATGAAAAAGTTTTTTTTTTTTTTTGTCGGGACGTACGCTGTGCTTAGGACGTCCGCATGCAATCCATATTCCTTTGCGAAGACAAACGAAGTGATGGATTGTGGTAAAGCCGCCTGCATCATGTAATCATATCACCAATCATTAATCAAACCCAAATTCAGAAAAAGATTATTATCGGATCATTTTTAAATATTATCACGGGAATGTTGCGACAAACTTATATATCGGACCAAAAGTCGGTCTAAAAAGAATTATTAATAATATGATTTTAGTGATCCAAATTAAGATATATATATATATATATTATGAAGAACCTGAATAATGGCGACACGTAGGACATCGCCATGGAGGCCAACGACGATGGAACCAATGGCCATGGCCGCTGGTCCAGCGACGAATTTCAACACCATTCCTATGACAGTCAAGCTTGCTCCACATGCTATCACTTTCTTTTGAAGAGCCATGGAAATGCCTGCGTTCACGGCCATGCAATAAAAAAAACACACACGTTAGATAAGTGATTTTTTGCCCTTTTTTATATGCTTTTTGATGAAATTTGTGGTTATTAAAAAAATCACTATTAATTTGATCTATAATGTTAAAGATGAATATATGTATATGTATACGTACCCATATTGAACATGGCAGTTCCTGTTCCTGCTTTGGACATTATCGAAATGGAGCCCTCCACTATGCCGGGCATTTGTATATGCCATCTGCTTCCACCAATTAATTAATTAAAAAAAGATTAATTTAGTCAATCTTATTGATTATTAATTTAATATAAAATAATAAAATATAACCATGCCCTTAACGTCTGTTGAAATCTATACATCTGGAATATAACCAAAACCTTTTGGACCGACATGATTACGTACCTGTTAGATATAAAAGCCCATGCGATGCCAATAACACAAGAATAGCAATTAGGGTTAGTGGCGAGCTTCAACCACACAACCTTCATGACCGTACGGAACGATTTCTCCTCCATCTTCGTCACAACCCTTTCACCTCCCCTACCTTCCACGTCCACCACCTCACCATCGCCCTCGAGCCCTGACCTTCTAAACTCCAATACGAACAACAAGAACGTTAACCAGACAATGGCCTGAAACACCGAGTTCTGAACAACGAGATCAACCGCCTGCTTTCCGTACATAGCCCTAGCCAAGGGCACGCCCACCACGAGAGAATTCGTGAGCGTGCACAGAGAAAAGCTCGTGATTGACCAGCAGTAACTCCCTTTGCTGCTGAACTTCGCCCAAAACCCTAGGACCGCCATGACTAGGAGCTTGGAGAGGGCGTCAGCCGCCATGAAAGGGTAGTTCATGTTGAAAGGGTCGACGTGGGCAGTGAACTCGATGGTGAAGAGGGGGAGAGTGAAGTAGCAGACCAGCCTGTTAATGGCGTCGCACTGGTCGTGACTGAATATCTTCCACCATTTCACCGATCCATAGCCTAAGATTAGGGCAACGTAGAGAGGGAACATCGCCTCGACCACTTTGTAAACATCTTCCCAACCTATCATCTTCTTGCTGCAAGAGGAATGAAGCAAAATGTTTTGGAGGGATATGCGTGTGCAACATACACACACACACACACCCCTATATATATACATACATACATATATACATACGTGCATACATACATATATAAGCTAAACAAGGTTTTATCACTTATTTTACAAGCACTTAATCAACACTAAAACCGTGTTTTGCCGACCCTGTTGTGCAAATGGCCGGTTATATGAGTATATGTCATATGGCATAAAATTGCAGATTATATTCCCATGAAAAAAAGAGAAGTGGTTACACACACGCATTTCGCGTATATATCTAAATTATAAAAAAAATACGAGCGCAATTTTCAGCCACTAATTTAATTATAATATATAGTTAAAAGTTTGATAATATGTAACTGACTGGACTGTCGCTTGTGCATATGATTCTATTTCCATTTGCTTCATTCATTTCGGTGTGAATTGTCTCTGACGTAACCATGCATGCTTTTAAGTGGCCTAGAAGTATCGACTTAAATACATTCACTAATGTATTTTATATACACGATTTTGTTTTTGTCCTTATTCAATGATATATATAATAATATATATTATCATAATATTGTTGCATAGAGGATTCAACGTTTATTCCACTCAACCTCATAACCAATATATTTAAAATCGTTTTTATTTTTGTTTATAACGCAATTTTTGTGGAGGTATATACTTAGCCCTACAACTATTGTTACTTTAAATATAAACTAGTCCCCTATGTAATAACCCTATACGTGGGAACAAAAATTAATGCCAGAAATGCCATTTGGGGAGTTGCCACATCTAGGAAGTAATTTCCCAAATTTTGTTACATTTTTGTTTGATTATTTTAAGATTTGATTTTATTTTTTTTATAAAAATTATATCCATTTATTCATATATCGCCTTTTCAGCATACAAATTTGACTTTTACTTAAAAAAAATTAGTTTATAATATTTCAGGTATAGTAACAGAAATTTAGGTATGGTAACCGAAATGCCCGAGGACACATCCACTAGAAGACCGATGGATTCATTTATATTTATATTTTATTATATGGACGAGATTTTTCCGCTTATTTATGCTATTATACGTAAGTGCATGCAATAATCTATCATACAGTATTATATGCGTACGAATAAATGTGCATGTTACGTGTGGTTACGCATATCATGTAAAAGCTAGCCTTTGCTGCTACCGAATAGATTTTGTGCCCTACGCCTAGCGACAGCTTATCATTTTATTTCTGCATCTAAATCCAGACATGAGAAAATGAAAGTACACGAAAGAATATGTATATATATACACGCATATATATATATGTGTGTGTGTGGATATGTGTAACAACATCAAAGAACATGATATGAATTTCTATATATAACGATATAGAGTCTCGATTCGGCTAAAACCATCTTATATATAGTATAATAGGGTGTTTATAATTAAAGAAACCCATTAAATTGGTACGTGACATCAACTTGCTGAAT